TCTGCAGCGTTCCTCCCTGCAGATCCTCAAGGGTATTCTCAGCGGTGATTAAACTTCTCAGGAATCCTGGGAGGTGGTGACTGCTCGGGAAGATTCCCAGCAGTGGGAGAGCAAACCAGGATGATGCCTGGAGGTCAGCGGAGCATCCTCTGATGTGCAGAGGGTCCTGGGGGGCTGGGGGTGCCCCAGGAGGGCTCGGAGTGGCGGCTGCTCCGTGCACAGCGCGCTGTCCTTGCTGGGGGGTTACACGGGGGTCCCCTGCCCAGTTTGTGGCTCCCAGTACGGACCAGTGCTCTGGACCAGCAGAGCCCGGCGGGCTGGGACAGCCCCAGCTCCACGCCAAGCCCCTGGCACAAGGGACAGTGTCCCCTCCTTGGTTTCAGGGACAGTGTCCTCCCCGTGGCAGCAGGGACAGTGTCCCCTCCTTGGCAGCAGGGACAGTGTCCCCCCCGTGGTTGCAGGGACAGTGTCCCCCTCGTGGTACCAGGGATAGTGTCCCCTCCTTGGCACAAGGGACAGTGTCCCCCTCGTGGTACCAGGGATAGTGTCCCCTTCTTGGCACAAGGGACAGTGTCCCCCCCGTGGTACCAGGGATAGTGTCCCCTCCTTGGCACAAGGGACTGTGTCCCCATCGTGGCAGCAGGGACAGCGGGGACAGCAGGGACAGCAGTGTCCCCTCCCCGGCAGGGCGCGCTGCCCGGGGCCGTGCGCGGGCTGCTGGCACCATCTAGCGGGGTTTGTGCGGGCACTGGCCGTGTCGCGGTCACTCCTGTCCCTGCCCTGTCCSCAGGGCACCAGCACGGCCCGGACCCCGCTCGGGGATGTCCCCCAGTCCTTTGTGCCCGATATTTCCCCCCGAGGGTACCCCCCCGGTGACAGACGGTGGATTTAGGGGCACAAGGGGCTGCCTGCAGAGCTGGGACCCCCCAGAACCGGCTCAGCATCACCCTGGCCTCACCTTGCTCATCTCCAGGAGGTCCGAGGGGTCAGCGGGGGGCTCTGGGCTGTGGGGTGATATCTGGGTGAGCACTGACCCCACACAGCACCCGAGAGCCCCATGGACCTTCCCCAGCACAGCTCCAACTGAGGGGTCACACAGGGCACCCTGACTTGAAGCGAGTGGGTTGGGTTCTGCAGTGGTCATAGGGAAGGGAATAAAGGAAAAACAAAGTGTAAAATCCCGACCTATTTCTCAGCTTCCAAACTCTTACAACAGCATGAGTTAGCGAAATAAAAGAAGTGCTTTCTAGCCTTCCAAGAAAACCCAGAAGATGGCAATTTTTTTTTTAGGGCCTGAAGAGTGCTGGCTGCTGCTGACTCTGGAAAGCCAGCCAGAAGCTGACACTTGCAGCTGGGATTTGTCTCTCCCAGCACACTGGGAGAAGCAGCTTCCAGGGACGCTGTGCAGCCCCGGGGAGTGAGGAGAGCAGCAGGGATGAGGATGGGGCCAGCACAGCCCGGTGTCCTGCAGCACCRGGGCTCCCTGTGACCCTGAACTGTGCATCCTGCACTGCCTGGGCGCTCCCAGGACACAGAATTCTTTTCTTCCCCATCACCATTTTAACTTTCCTGCCCACACCAAGCACAGAACTAGCCCACCCTGTGAAGTGACGGAAGAGCAAATGGTCCTGGCTGCCCCTGCAGGGATTGGGTGTGCTGCTGTTTGGGCAGGCTGCTGTTTGCTCCAGCAGGGATGCACGGGGAGAGTCAGGAACGGCCATTTAGGATCCTGCCCTTGGGGTGACACAATTTACAGGCTTACTGGCAAGCTGAGGTGGCAGATGGAGACACCTGGGGAACAGGGAGAGCCCTCAGCTTTGTGGGGAGGCAGGGGATGCAGGTGGAACAAAAACAAGTRGAAGTTCTTCCAGGGATTTTGCTTTGCCTCACAAAAATCCACATTAAAAAACCCCAACCAACCAAGGCCAAACCACACATTTCAAGCAGGCTGACAYCTCTCTCTCCCAGGAGAGCTGTTTGCTGGAGCAGCCCTGGCCTGCACTGGTATCACCCACTCAGCTCACACAGGGGCTGGGGCTCAGGTTTATTTGACTGCCATTTCAGACAGGGGCACTGGCCACAAAGGCAGCTCCCCCCAGCTCTGCAGGCACTGCCCAGCTGACAGCAAAGCCACCTCCTTGCACARCAGCTTCTCAAGGGAAATGCACTCAGGAAGGTCCTGAGCAGCAGGAAGTTGGTCCTTTATCATTATKTGTTGGCACAGAAATACTGACCACATGATAAAGCTCGAAGTAGGTCAGGCAGCCATCTGCTCTTGCTGACAGACCTCCACGACCGTGGTCAAAGATTCTCATTTCTAGAAACTTCACGGCTTGGATCAAATTTGACTGACCATGAACACGTCGCAGCCTATGCTACAACGCCAGGAGTTAAAAAMCCCACAGTGTGACGTTTATTGGCTCCTGTTTTAAAAATAGCTGGAGCTTAGTCTACTTCTACTAATTAAAAACCTTCATTTCCTGAGTGTGACTGTCTCGGCCTCCTGCCCGAGGTGTCAGCCTGGGGGCAGCACTGGCAGACCTGAATCCAGCACGTGAAATAACCTGGAAGCTTTGCAGCAGATGAATGAAATAAAGAGACTGCCCCTTTTTTTTTTTTTTTTCCAAACAGTTCACATTTATTGATAACAATAAAAAAATCTTTTAAAGACTATCTGTATTTTATTACCAAGAATGAGGTATTATGTATACAAAACATTTACAGAATTTGATATGCAGTTAATGAGGAGGGACAGGGAAGTGAAGGACACTGGTAACAGGAAAGGTGCCAACAGAAGAGTCATTGGCTGAGAGAAGGAAGAGCAATATCACACAAAGAAAGACAAGGATATGGGAAATTAATTAGTCAGACTGCAGTGATCAAGTCATATTGCCACAGCACTTTGCTTAGAGGAAGATTAACTATTGTTTTTATGKAATTTTATCTCCCCGGCTGTTTGTGCTGTCATGTGCTTTGAGCTCTAAAAGATGTGTTAAAATCAACAGCAGGAAAAACCCAAAGTGCCACTTTTGAGCCAGCTCAAGTGAAAAATAAAAATATAGGTCTTCAGACTTGAAAAGGGACTGCAACTCAAAAAGGTCTACAAAGCCAGACACCTCTGGACAGATGAGGAGTGTTGAATGGAGCAGATTCTCTACAGTTGTCAGCAAAATCGCCATCTGAGAGAGAGAGAGAGAGAAAGAGAAAGGGGACCAACTTCAGCCCTTACAGCCTGGTGAATGGGAAGAAATGCCATGAGTGTCAGCAGGTGAACCTCACTGTGCTCCAGCTGTGCTGGGAATACTGGAATATTGGTTCCTGCTGCCAGGAACCCGGGCAGAGCTCCCGGGAGGAGCCCCGGAGTCCCAGCCTGCCACAGCTGCTGTGCAGACACTGAGTGGGAGCTGTGTGACACCACAGCAGTGACCTGTCTGGCACAACAGCCCACTCTGGCAGCCTAAGTAACAGCCTAACCTCCATCTTCAAGTTCTGAGTCCCAAAAAAGCTCCAAAACAGACCAGTTTGGTTCAGTCTAAGGAGGCTGGTCTCTCGATACCTCTGTTCCTAAAATACCTGTCAGCTCTGCCACRTGCCACAGCCACAGCAGGGCTGCAGCAGAGATGCTGGCAGGAGTCTGTCACTGGCCTCTCAGGAGCTCTGCACGTATAAACAAAGCTTTACCCTGAGTTCAGAACCAGCTTTCCTCAGGCAGGGGATTCAGAATCTCGAGTGAGTTCTGCTTTCCAAGTTCAAGACTTCTAAACTYCACCACTTACCTAAGCCAGAATCTATCCCACTTCCTAGCAGGGACTGCAGCCAGCACAGAAGCTCCTTGTGCCTGCATGGACAATTTTGCTCTAGAAGGGTAAGGAAAGACCAAGCAGGGTCTAACTGTGCATATCCTGCTGCATTTSAGACCAAAATCTTCTCTGCCTCACTGGCAGGTGTGGTCTGTAGCTGTCTGACAGTTCAATCTTTGGAGCCTTTTGCTGTGCATGGAGTGAGGGCTCAAGGGGGAAGAGCACCTGGATAGAGTTCAGCAAGAGTCCAACTTGGGCCTGGGAARTGGGACAAAATCCCAAATGGCAGGGCACCTCTGGCAGTGGCAGTGGAGAAACTGGTGGAGAAAACCCTTACAGCATCTCCTGTACCAGAGAGGGAAAATCCTGTCAACAGATCAGAACTCAGGTGCTCTATTTCTGCTGGGCACAGGGAAGGACAGGAAGCCCCAGTGGGGGAGAAGTGCTCAGGAAGGATGGAAGCCACACCTCCTGCAGAGTGATTCAAGCAGCAAGCTGAAGCTCTGCATAAATTCCTGATAAGAGAATCTCAGTAAAATCAATTCACTTGCAATGTGCTAAGGAAGCAGAGTGAGCAACAGAGCTGGGAACAATGCTCAGAGCAGCTCTGGATGAGCCCAGAGTCACACAGCAAGGGACAGCCTGCTCTCTGCCTCTCTCTCTGCAGTGCTCCAAGCACAAACCCAAGGAAAGAATGAATTGCTTTAACCCATCAAGACCCAGAGCTCAAATTCCCCAGAAATGTGCTCGTACAAAAGGTATATTTAGTGTTACAGCCTGGCCACAGCTCTGTGGGCATGCTTTGAAAAAAACGGACTCACAAAGTCAAGTATCCAGCAACTGCTGTTCTTTGTCTCGGACATCATTAGTGACAACAGGAGAGCAGTTTGCAGCACTGGAAGATCACAGGGGATTTCTCAGGATGGCAAGGAATGTCCTGACAGGAGACTTGCAGTTCATCTCTAATGCACTACGGARCATTTTTGGTAGGGTTTTTCTTTTTTTGCTTTTTAACATTTGTACAGTTAAAAAAAATCATTCTTAACTGATGCACTGGTTGTTTTTCCTTTTCAGTAAGAGCCCTTGTGTTCAGAGTTAGGATTTGTGCAAGCACACTTGCAAAAATATTTATGGCTGAGTTAGGAAAAAGGGTTAAAGAGACAAGCTGTTGGATCTAACAAAGACCAAAACCACTAAGTGTAAAATTCAAACAGCTACTTTACTATCTATAAAAGGCTTTTTGGGATGGGTTTTTTTGCACAATTGCCAGTTGAATATGCTGTATTGCAGTCAGCTGCCACGGGCGAGGGTCCAGCCATCACATCCATTTGCTTTTCAGCTGTTGTGGCACTACCTGGAAATCATGGAGCTGGAATGAGACTGGCTAGAAGAGGTGGTGGCAGCACTGAGYTGGGAGAATCCACTGTGGCTTGATTCAAGGCTGGTCATAGATCCCCTGCAGAAAAAAAAAATGCAGTTTTAAGCTTCAGAACACACAAAGATTTTGATTTCTGCTCTGCATCTATATTGTGTCTGTTTGCACACTGAATAAAAAGCAAGTAACAGTTTTAGAGCAGATACTCAAAAGCTTTTCTGTCTCAGCACATAAAATAATGAGGACACTGCACCCCTTTCAAAACTAAAGAGGCAGAGATTTAATTTCAGTCAAGTTTATCCACTGACAGGAAATGAAAGTGAACAACTAGAATTTGAATTGCACCCCCTTCCACAGGACAACCTGCCAAGCCCAACAAGCTTTAAAAGCAAAGCGACCAGTGATAATTAGCATGTGATAACTAATTAACCCCTTGCATATGTTAGTTGTCCTCAGTGCAACTTTTTAAGGCCCTCACAGTTCACTTGTATTTAAGTGAAGTTRACACTGATTCGATTATCTAAATATCAGTGAGGTTGGCCAGACATACCTGAAATCTTCAGATCCTATCACTTCTGTATAGTACATCACTTTACATTTGTGAGAGGACACCTGTAGAGATGCCAACACATCATCCACACGAGGCAGGTTGGTTGTAGCACAGGCAGGCATGCTGTGGAATTTCCACTGTAAAATGTAGAAGCCAGGCCATCTGGTCACGTGGGAACCCTGCAAGCAGACACAACAAAAATCAAAAATTAACTTGGTTGATAGAGATTTCTAGGCTTGACATTTCTTTTCCAAGCTTAGAAGAAGTGCCTACACGTCCATAATTTTTCCCCAATTCCAATATCTCAGCTCTTCAGCCMACTGGCAGCACTGGGAGACTCTGCCCACACAACATCCTTATCAAAGTTGGAATGGAACACCAGCAGTTCCTCCAGCTTTTCAACAGCRTCAAGGGGTTAGGATTTAATAATACTGAAAGGACAAGTTCTGCTTTAAAACAATATCCACTTTTTCCATTTCTTTTCATTCACAGCTGTCCTGTGAGACAGTGRGAGGAGCAGTGAAGTTCAAGAGGTCACTGCCCATATTTCCAGTTAAACATTTCCATCGTGGGGACTTGAGGAGCTCCTTTTTCGGAGGCTGTTTGCCTCATTTCAAGTGAAACAGCAGGGGCAGTGTGTGTCTGCAAACATGCTGCATGTTATATCAAACTTGCCAATTAAAGGACAGGTTGTAAATGGCATAAAAAAACMTTCAGGAGCTTTGGTCATCACAAGYCCTTACACTGCCTGTTACAGGGACAGATATACAGAAGCTCAGACTTGTTTTCCAGCCTTCTCTCATTACTGARGGCAGGCACTGTGATATTCCTCAGATTGTTTGCCACCAGAATTACTGTCAGAATTACAGCACATTTTCTACTTTCTGGATGTGCATTTCATTTTAGGTGGCCTCCCCATGTTCCTTACAGATCCATCTCAGTCACTACCAGACTGATGGAACTTCCCCTCCCAGCAGATCCTACGTAAATCCCATCCCTGCTCTGTGCAGCACCCAGCATGAACAGCAGCTGAGATGCTGGCCAAAAGCAAGCAGGCAGTCAGGACTGATCACCCCTCAGTGGTCAGTGCTGTGAGACAGAACAGGCAGCCTGGGCTCCATCTGCCCCCACACGAGGCTCTGGATGTCTCACCTGCACACTCTCCCCTTCTTTGCAGATCAGGGGAGACTCCACCATGCTGTAGTCACGCCCCAACTGCCAGACTTTGTCTATCAACTGGACGTTGTTCCCACCAGGAGATGTAATACTGTGAGCTCCCAGGGAGTCCTTTTTGGGAGGCTGGGGGGCTCTTTTGGAATGGAAGATGTTAAAAACAATRTCGCCCTTGCACACGTCAAAATCCCATGTGATCACAGACGAGGCATCCACAATCTGGATGAGAACCTGAGACAGGAAARACACATTAGACAACAGCAATTTGCTCAGTAAAGGCAAACTCCTACAGAAAAAAAAAAAGACAAAGAACAGAGCTTTTTTTGTTGCTGGGCTTAGTTTCTACCATTAAAAAGGCTTTTTAATAGTCAAAGAAAGGCACTGCAGATACAAATTACATCCCGATGGGGTGTCTTTATTTTTACACATGATTTTCAGAAGCTTTCAAGCAGCTTCTGAGAATATTGCTTGCTTTACTTAGAAGAACATGGTTTTGAATTAAATGAAAACCAGTGATTTTCTCTAAATGGCAACAAAATTACAGGAGGAACARTCACAAACTTCAGCTGTTAAAGCATCACTATGCACCAGATACAGAAGGTGGAAGCACAGTGACTTAATAAACAAGCTCTGAACCATTCCCAGGMCAAGAGACAGAGCTCAGAGCAGAGGCTGAGATGAAAGCAAAGGGCAGCTGGAGCTGTACCTCATGTGGAGCTCCTTTGAAGACACTTGCAGACTGGTAGATCGTTTCAGTCCAAAGCTTGATGTCTTCATTTTCCAACTCTTCTGCTGTCCGGTAGAGGGACTTGGGAACCAGCCCACCCTCTGGTACTTCACACTAAAACCAAAACAACATGAAAAATTATCTCCTGTGACCATGCCATCATGTTCTGCCAGCTTCAGAAACAAAAATTCAGCAATACTCTGGAAAAGGGAACAGTTCAAAAGTAATTTTATAGCTTGTACATGAAACATATGTAATTCTTTTTACAATGATCTGGGTGAGATGTTTGCAGAACTCGACATCAAGGGAACAGATCTTGTACATAGCAGACAGCACCCCAGAAAAGGACTATGCAAACGCTGTAATTATCATTTACACCAACTTACACTGAAGGAAGGTGGGAGACACTGCAGAATCCTGAGGGAAGTGGCAATAGTGACTAAGTCTGAAAAAYAGAGCTACAGAGACCTGAAAGAACTGGGGTAGCTAAATTAAGGATGGATAGTGGGGAGACACAATACGTATCCAAGCAGCCAGGAAAGTTAAGAGTTCTGAAGTTACAGCTGTCTGACAGCTCAGTACTGGAAGTGATTGCACAACTTCCCTAAGCAAACTTYTGTTTTAAAAAGCCTGTAGCAATGAAGTCAACAACAGGTTCCACAGAAGTGTCTGGAAAGCAGAAGTATTTGGTAACTGAATTACAACAGAGAATTGAAAAGATCTTAGGGAAGTCATTTTGTTCAAATACCGAGAAGTAAAGAAGAAAAGACTCTGTCACCGCCTGTAACTGGCAGGAAGTATTGTAGCAATTTGCTTTCTGGTAACATTCACTTTTGCTKACTTAAGCAGTGGATTTTGCCAGCTTTGAGCTCCAAATTAGATATCACTGAAAGCTACTGCTGCAGCAAAAAGCAGCCCAGTGGAGATAAACACATGTTCTATTCCAACACATCTAACTGTACCTCATTATCATTTGAGACTCTATTGGAACACACACAGATCAATTTTTAAGTTTGGTACAGAAACTGATCTAGAGAGTGTACAGGGGCTGAAAACACAGCAAGCTTTGTGTTGTCAAAAATATTGCAGGTGAATCAAACCTTACAGTATCAGCAAGATGTTAAAATGCCAGATCCAGCTGACACCCAAGGTCTAGGCAGGAAACAGCTACCAAGGCATGTGACAAGGGACAAAGAAATTACAGTATCCTGCAGTACAATAACTTTTTCTGGTTTGTTGGGGGTCACTGCACACCCTGTGTGAGGAGACTGGGCTGTTTGTTGAGCCCTGTTGCCAGATGCTCCCTTGGGCTCCTTATGGGATGAGCTGTTTTAGCACAGGCTCCTTTGATCAGCTGATGGTGAGAGCTCCTGCTGTCATGTCTGCCTGAACTTGTCARGAAACAGACTATGGCTGTGAGCTCGGCTTAGCTATTTTAATAAGGTATTTGATTCTCATCCTAGAGAAGCACTGTACTTCTCTTTTTAAAGTGGATCCAGAAAACAGCACTGAGTCTGGAATCCTACACCACAGCCCCCACCTCCAAACTACACCAGGAATCACTCTGTGTGTGCTTACAGACTTCTTTGCTTAGAGAAGAGGAAACATTTTAAAAAGCCCCACAAATAAGTTGCTATATGCAATAGTTTAGATTCATACCATGCACTCTCCACCAAGGAAATCAGGGATAATTTCTTTATCGATGTAATCCAACAGTCCCCCAGGACCCTGGTAGTCATTTCCAGCATAAATAAGGAATTTCTTTCTAGTGTTGTCATCAATGAATGGACTAACCTACAAAGAAAGAAAAACAGAACAGATCAGGCCTTCACATTTTTCTCAGGTCAATTTACATTGTTTTCAAGTCAATTTTGAAGGAATCAGTTTTGATCACACTGTTACTATCCTGGTTATGCAAAGTCCACGCTACAAAGAAGCCAAATTAACCAWGTGTGTAAACAAGTTCTTTTTTAATCCACTCCAGGTCGTGTTTTTTAATCCACTCCAGGAATCCCATATAAAAGAGATGTTTCCAAATGACAACATCTGCTGCACATACAGCCTGATCTCTGAAGKGCTTTTACAAACTGAGAGAATTGAGTAATACCTTGGATTACACACATACCAGTGTCCAGAGAACTGGGAATACTCGAGGTGCTCTTAGGATAAGAAGACGACCCAGGGTTTCAGGGTAATTAGCTTCAACCACCTCGATGATTCTCAGCAAAGCCTTGACACCAGGTCTCCATAAATGCCTCATGTTCAAGCCTTCCAGATCTACTAGACAGGTCCAAGAACTGAATTKGACAAAGACAAAAATAAAAAGAAAGATCTCAATAGCATTCAAATTTCTCCTTGTTTTCTTGTGTTTTACCTCCTTGCTTTGTGCTGCCTGTAGACACTGGAGTTTAAGGTGTGTGCAATGATCACTTTGCACACCCCACACATTCCCCCMCAGACATTTCAGACTCCAGATAAAGATTCAGTTCATATGAAGCCAAAAAAAGATCCTGTCAACAGTCAGCCCAAACATTAAACCATTGCTTTTACTGCGAGATCAATTAAGTGGCCACGTTGCTGCTCTGAAGCAATTTAATATTCACAGAGCAGATTTCCCACTAACACACTGCAGTAACAGTGCCAATACACGTCAAAGCTAATTCTGTTGTCAGATCTCAGGGAAGGAAGCTTTTTCTATAGGAAGAGATATGTTCTCAATACWAACTACTGAGCTGAAGCATGTGTTTCAGTTTCTTTCCAAGTTCAGGTCYTGCCCTGGGCAGGAATTCAAGATTTACAGCTGTGCTGCACCAGCCAGCAGCCATTACATTATGCATAAGGCTTCTATGAAACACCAAACCCTTCTTTGTTTCACTTTAAATGTTTAATATGCAGCCCTTTAGGATTACGGCTACAAGTGAAGATCCAGTAGGCAGTACCATTTTACTGTTACACACATGAGGCCTCTCCCTTGGATTTGACCTCTCTTGGAGAGTTAGGGCAGCAAGTTCTGCAACAGGGAAAGGATAAGCAGACACACCATACATCCCTGGAACTTACAGATTAGGGGAGGGAGGCAGAAACTGGACAGAGTCCAAGACATATATGGTATCTTTTCCGGGCTGCTTCTGCTTTCATTCTACACCCTCAAATCCATTTTGCAGTTACCACTTTCASAAATGACCCCTACAAAGATGGGCTAGCAGACTACTTTTGACTGAATTTCACAGGAAGTCATGCCAGAACCCAGAAAACTACATCCCAGGTTTCACAGGAGACTCATGACCTCACCTTGGGATCAAGAGCTGAGCAGCCACATATAATAAATGCAAACAGGAACTGAGTGTAATGAGCCTTGGAGTAGGCTACAGAGGAACAAGTGACATGAAAGCCACACCTGAAATTACTGGAATGATTATCCATGATATTACTATGGCCTGATTTTTTTGGCAGGCTGTACCAATGCCTGTAAAACCCCCCCAGAAAAAGAAATGGAAGGCTGCACTGCTCTGCAGGTATCCAGCAGTCAAAGAGAGCTGAAGTGTGACAACCCCAACAGAACYTTTATGAGCACCAGACCAAAACTGCTGAGACAGGTGGTGTGTATCCCTCAGGCTTCTCCAGGCACATTCCCTCTAGCACTAATTGGGGAGGCTCTTAATTAACTGTCCTTGTGCTTGTACCTGCATGTGAAAGACAATCTACTCTGTGCTCGTTCCACTGCCTGACATTCCCCCCACACACCCCATGAAAGCAGGTAATTCCCAAAGAGCAGATTTTACCTTATTGGCCTGCCAAATACTTTTGTATTCTCTTCACATCGCCTCAGCCCTTCTTCATTTATTGAAAGAACCTGCACAAGAAAGAGTGTGGTTTAGAGAAGACAGTCTCAAACTCAGTAGGTGGGATAAAGAAAATAKGTTTATATCCAAAGACTAATTAAAACTACAACATCAAACCAGCATCAACTTTCTTCCCCCGCCCCCAAAGAATGAATTAGAAATCACTACAATTATCCCTAATTACTCAGAAATTAAAGCCCCTTTTGAAATCACAGAAAGCAACCTTGAAACAGAACTAGGGCAAGCAAACAAAATGTAGCGTCTGCTTGGAAATGCCACGAGGAGAGAAAAAGTAAAATCCAGTCCCTGCTTTTAATAGTTACTATGGCTGCTCCTGTCATTACTGGGAGACAAAAAAARTTAGTGCAAATCTGGAATTCTGCCAGCTTTCTGCTTGGAAGCTGAGCAGATCTACAGTAACAGTCTGAGTGATGCCTTTAGAGAAGGCAGAGAACTACAGGCAAGCAGGTTTTKTTTTTTTWAATAAATGATTCTTATACAGGCTGACAAAAACCTGAGTGGCATTTTCTCTTCTGTACAAGAGCAGAGACTGGGGTTTGAAGCCCTGCWCAAGTACAGAAGAATCTGTGCAAATGCCAACCACTAACCGCAGGAGCTGCCAAGAACTCCACCTTTTCATCATCAGCCTGCASTGGGAAAGAAGGAACAGCATTCCAACCAAAACCTGATGGCCAGAGAGCACAGCAGAACCCCGGAGTGAGGGATGCTGTGGTAGAGGGAACTTCTCCATGGAAACAGCCCACTGTTAGGAACACTCACATAACGCAGCAAGGCCTCCTCCCCCAGAGCTCGCACCAAGCCCTTGGTGTCCATCTGGCCCAGCCTGAGCACGTACAGTGGGCGCCCATCTGCAGAGACACAAACCACCAATGTCAGCTCACTCACACAGCAAGAGACACCACAGAGAGCTACTGCTGTGCTAAAAATTCAGATGGAAACAAACCATAATAGTTAACACTCCCCTGGAAGAGGAAGAATCWGGAGCAGTTGGCAACATAAACATCACTCTGTGCAGCTACACTAACAGATTACCTGGAAATGAGCTGCAAAATGGAGATATTCTGATTCACAGAGAGCTCCCTGACCTTCCACAGAAGTTCAAAGGATTTAAGTGCACACCAGACCTTGGTATACACAATTAATGACACAGACTATTCTTAGCTTCCAGGACAGCTCAGGTACTCCCATGAGCTGAAGTTTTTCCTGTAAGTGCAGAGCTGCAAGGAAAGCTGTAAGGCTTTTATCACATGTGATGCAATTCTGCTCTAGAGAGTTTACAGCAACCTTTCCGGAGAAACAGCCATCCTGACATCTGGGAATTAATGAAACCCAGTGTTAACCCAGAGCCTGCCCTCTGCAGTGTCTGCTGGAGTCACACTCCAGCTCTGTCCCTGCACACTGCGCAGAACTGGCACACAGCCCTGCTTATGCAGGTTAAGCCTGGCAAGARCAGACTCTGCTCCAGAGATCAGCTTCAGCTGGACCCTCTGCATTAGAGCCCTGCCTTTCCACAGTCATCTGCCTGCACACTGGGGCAGTTTGACACTGGCAGGATATTTAGGCATTAAGCTAAATTACTGTGGTAGCTGAAATTGAGAATCAAAGCTTGCATTTTTGGCTCTTAGTTATCCAAAACAGCTCCCAGCCTCCCCCTAAAGCTGTGATGCACTTTTTAAGCTTTGCTCCATCTATTCTAATACACAGGCTAAATAATCACCAGCTTAAAAAAGTGAGCATGTTAGGATACAATATAAAAAGAAGAAAAAAAGGAAGCTTTCTGCATAAAAATCTCCCTCAAGTCCTGTTGTCTGTGCAGCTTCATTCCCCTCCAACAGCTTAAGAGACATTATCAAATTCTCATTAAGTACTTTGGGACACAGGGAGAGAAACTGCAAAAAATACACTATTAAAAAGCCAACAAACAATCAAAATAGCAGAGTCAAGGCAAGTTATKTATTTGGAAAATACACTGCCCCCAAGAAAGTTCACAGTGTTTTATGTTTTATCAGGTGGACTAAAAGAAAATGTTATTTTAACATCAGCACATACTTATCTTGGAATGTACTGTTTAGCTTTTGAAACACCAAACAAAAACTGCTATTAAGCTTCAGAGCAGGTCTCCCTCCCTCCCAGACACAGATGCCTCCAAATCCAAACAAACAGCTCAGTAACCCTGGTCCACCCAAATGGCACATGAAGGAGAGCCTCAGCTGACAGTGCTGCATTATCACTGTACAATTTAGATTCCATTAGAGCTTTGTCATTTTAGAAAGACATTAGATTGAAGCATTCCTGTCAAAATAAAAGCCACTCGGATGTATAGAGAACTGTGCTAATTGCAAGCCAAAATAATAACTTCTTTTCTTCAGCACTGATAGCTCATTCTAGACAACATGCTTCATTATCACTGCCTTCGCTGTAGCACTAAAAGCCACACAGCATCCAGCCAGCTTAAGTTTGGCACATTTAGCACATGTAGGAGGAAAGGAGCAATACTAGAAAAGAGAGTTTAAAAAAAAGAACCCACCGCTGTAAAATTTTAAATTATAGAGAATTGCTCAGTTCTGAAATTGTGTTTCCATCATTGACAAAGCCATGCTTTACTTGTGGGCATGCTGCAGGAGAGATCAAAGGAACTGCAGGGGAAGGGAGGGGGCATGAAGTTCACCACAAGACTGGAGAACTTCTCAGAAGAACATTAAACAAGCCTTTGATGCATTCTGCACCTTTCTGCTCACTGGCAGGACCCAGTTGTGTGCTATTGACAGAGGAAGTCTTTGCAAAGGACAGACAAGGAACGTGCTGAAAGGGAGAACTTATTAACAGGTCCTTTTCCCTACAATCTTTACAAGCACGTTCTCATTTTCCATTTTCTCAGTTTGAGGTCTGTCAAACTCAGAGCAGCAGGGAAGAACCATTCAAGCTCTGTGATTAAACTTCTGCTGCGTCCTCCCTGTCTCCTGGCCACTACTGCTGACAGCATCCTGCCCTGTTTCATATGCTGCCTGTAAAAGGAAGAGCTGAGCAGAAACAATGGTGCCTGGTGGGAAAAGACTCAATCAGAGCACAGATCGCTCACAGTAAGAGATCATTTCCTTATCTAAAGAGCCCAGCTTGCCTCAAGCCACAAATTCCGACGTGTTTCATTTCTATGTATGTATTAGCAGCAAGATCAGTGCAYGATAAAGCACAGGGACAGGGGAGCACGTCAGGCTGTGGCTCACAGCACAATGGGAATTCAGCCAAAGCTGCTTCTCTTCTTAAACAAACCTTCTCTATTTGATGTTTTTGCAACATTCCACTTCTCATCATTAAGCTGATTGTAATGCCAAATAAATATTCATTTATGCCATCAGCAGACTTATCCAACATCAGAAATMAATTGATTACAAAGATATACTTATTTACAAACATCTTTTAATCACTGAAAGAGCACACTCAGCACTTGCCTAACACCCTGGTAAGCATCTCAGAGCACTAGGATGCGCAATTAATCGCTTTCTTTAAGCTCTCCTGGCAAAGCAGTCTTAAGTACGTCAGTATTAGTCAGAAAGACTCTGATCCAGGAGTCTGCCTATAGCAGCTAAGGAGCTGGCAAAAGCACTGGAACAGACTGTCCAGAGAAGCTGTGCATGCTGCAATCATGGAAGTGTTCAAGCCCAGGCTGGACAGGGCTCTGAGCAACCTGGTCTAGTGGAAGGTGTCCCTGACCATGGCAGGGAGATGCAAAAACATTATTTTAAACTCCCTTTCAAACCAAACCATTCTATGATCCTATGAATTTAAATGTCTTTAGTACATAACAACTGAGAAGTTCTAACCATCTTTCCAGTCATCTCTAGTTAACATAGGGACAATTATCACCTTTGATTCAAAACATAGAAAGGCTGTTCAATATCCATACCTTTGTCATGGTGATGCCAGCCTCCTGCATAGTAATCCTGGAGCACCTGGGGAGGATTCCARGTGTCCAGAATATAGTCCACTTGGTGCTGCTTACGCCACGTCAGTGATTGGCAAAGGATCTCTCTGGCTTTGTCAATGTTGAAGTCTCKGGCACGCAGGAATCTTAAAATGTGCTCATCCTTTGGGATCTATTAAAAAAAACAAACCAAATTTTGTACCTAAGATTTGAAACAAGAACAGAAACTCAAACAACAGAAGCTGAAAAATGTGCAGCCCTACACTGATGCAAGAGGTTAGTGTGTATCACTGGGAGTTACTCAAGGAAGTCAGCCTTTGTTTGAAACAAAATCATGAGCCCTGTCATGTACTGCAGCTACCTTTATGAGGGATATAAAAATTTCATGAACTCTAACATAATCATTTCCGCCTGTATGATCATACCAAGCCAGTCCAATTTAAATAAATCAGGACAGAACACAGACTGTATTTTATTGTTAAGTAAGAGGAAGCTGAGACACACATGCAAATCACAAGGCACTGGAAAAACCCCAGCCTCGCTATCAGTGATTTAACTGACTCCACTGCTACCAGTGTTTCAGTATGTAACAGTATGATGTTTGGCCAAAACAAACAAATGCAAAAATAAGGTCAYTGTAGAAACCAGGAAGCCTCATAAAACTGATATTATTCCCCTGTGGCAGTTTAAGTGACATTCTGATAGTCTTTCATGCTAACTATTTAAGCACCTCAGCAAGCAAAGTCAGCTGGACAGTCACAATGAACTCCTCTTATTGCCACTGCTTAAATTTAGGTTTTGACCATGGATAGCCATTTGACAGGAACAGTCAGTCCCAGGGGTTGTGGCAGGACATTTCCAAGGCCCACCTTGTGTGTCACACACTCTGAGCCACAGGACACCCCCAGTAACTCACTTTGCCTTTGTGCGTCTCCTGGAGCCACTGGCGCAGGCGGATGAGGCAGCTCTCCTGCATCGGGGTCAAGTCCCCCAGGTACCTCTTGATGTAGTCTGCATCCAACTTATCTAAAAAAGAGATAACAGGTGATCAGTGCTCATGAACAGACCTAGGCAAAGCCCCAAGTGATCTGATTTGCTGCTGCATTTGGTGCAGTCAGAACTGAATAAAGTTCCTTTGAATGGATGAAAAGATGAGTAAGGTGACAAACACAGTCATCTTCATGAAGAAGATAAAGYTCTCCTTCTGCAACCAAGGAAGGAGCAAAAGCAGACATTTGTGAAAGCATTTTGCCAGTATACTCAGAATTATCAATCCACAGCACCATTGGGCTAGTTGCTTCTAGAAATACTTAAGAGAAGCTCTGAATTTTTCCAAATTCTCAGAAGACTGAGTCGAGGGAGGTTTCAGCTGCTTCCTCCCCATTTTCCCTATAGTTACAGCCACCCCTGAATCTCAGGGCAAGAAGCAGACTGTTCATTTGCAACCCACTGAACAGCAAAGAGTTTTTCTGCTCATACCTGATCTCCACTTACAAGCTCAGGCTGCTCCCTGAGTCACTGCTGGGTGAGCTTACTTTAACACTGCATATCACTAACCAAAAAGCCAAGCTGGAGCTCCTCAGCTGCCCAGGAGAAGCTGCCCAGTACTGAGAGCCTCTCCAGTACAAAGCAATCCCAGTAAAACATGTCAGATCCCCATACCATCGGGCGTTCCTGCGGTGGGCTCCGAGGGGCTGCTGGAGGTGTTGAGGATCTCCTTGTTGTTCAAGCCCTCCTTTGTGGCAGACTCTGGGATATTAATGGCAGGTGACACTGGTCTCCTTGGGTGGGATGTGCTGCTCTCTGATTTACATGGAACAGGAGGAGTCCAGCGAGGAACAAAAGTTATTCCTTCTTCCTCCAGCTGCTTCAGGTAGTATTCTATTATTTCTTTTCCCTTCAAAAAAGCAAAGGTACTTCAGGTACTGAAAAACCCACCCWTTTTTACATAGAAATTATTGGGCTGAAAACCCAATTAAGTGATCAGACCTCTGTAAAGATTCCACTTGAAACAGCCCCACACAGACACACTGCCCCAGGCTTTTACCAAAGCAGCCCAGCTTTTTGAGCAGAGCAGCCTGTTACTTAGCAGCAGCCTCAATGTCTTTTGGTAACTTGGAGCCAGACAAATCCTTCCCAACTGCAGGCTCACCTTTTTAATATTGCTGGTGTACTGCTTCATRGCAATCTTCTCCACTGTGCTTTCAAAACCAAAAAAAGATTTGATATCCAGACTTGCTGACTGTTCAAAACAGGTCCAGTCTTCATTGTCAGGATGAACCTGTAAGTCAAAAGATCATACAGCTCAGTTATCCACGTAGGGTTTTTTCCCCCTCACAATATTTTAGAAGTTTCTTGTTTTACAGGTTCACACAGTCAAAAATATTCAGGCAGATTTTGCAGGGCCTTGCTTCACTTGCAAAACASTGTTGGGAAGAGGCAACAGCACAGGACAAAAAGCTGGGAGGACATCCTATGGTCCCATGGCTCTTTTGTTCATCTGAACAAGAAAGGGGAGGGCAGAGAAACACAAATGCACCGGCCAAGAGCCAGAGAACTGCACATTTCTACACTGTCTCAGTCCAGATAAGGGCTGGGGCTGCAGCATGTCTGTGGAACAGGGTAAAAGCCWCCCCAGTGAACTCTGTGCTGTGGCTGGTAGCCCAGGGCCAGCTCAGCCAGCCTGAGCCCTGCAGCAAGAACAGTGGGAGTAGCTCCCACTGGTATCTCCATGCACTGTAGTCCAGCGGTGGTTCCAACAGACTGTTCTCTCGTTGACCTATGAGGTGCTTTAGCATTTTATAGAATAARAACTATTTTAGCCTGTTCTCCCATGATTATGCCACAGATAGAAGTGCACACTACTTGCTCAGCTGACACCCTCCCTCTTAGCTTATCTCTTTGTTTACTGACATGATCCTCAAACAGACTTTTAGTTGGACTTGATCTTTAAAGGTCTTTTCCAACCTAAACAATCCTATGATTGATGGTGATACTGTTACAAAAAGCTGTTTTTAAAACTCTCTTCAGCTAAGACAGATTTGTTCAAGCAATTTCTAGGCTGGGCTCTGAATTTGTCACTATAAAAACATCATGAAAGGCTGGATTTCTGAGCATGCAACTGGCCTGGTGCCTYAGGATTCTCCTCCCCCTCAAAACATGCTAAAAGTGGCTAAGAACAGGATCAACACTTTATAAGGAGACAACGACAGGAAAAAAACCCTTTTCCCTTCATTTTCTGTTTCTGCTTTAGGGAACAGGAGGTACAAGAATAGTTTGTATAGCTTAAGTAAGTACAAATCATAATAACATCATTTAAAAATCTCCCAGCATTTTCATATATTCAACTACAAGGTATCTTCAATAAAAACGAACTTCAACAATTTATTCTTCCTTTAAAAACCTGTTTTTTTTTATTTACCTACTAATTTCTTGACTGAGTAGAGCAAAGGCAAACAGAAGTGYTGTGTTTTGTACATATTTACCACATGCACTTTTGTGAACAGCACTCCCCCCTGTTTAAGCAGAGCTTTCACATAAAAACTACAGGTAAGTGAAAGAGTATTTTTAAACTTGCCTTGGGAATAACAGCAGAAATAATTACAAAAATATTAGATAATAGTGTCAAGTGGGTTTGACATGCACTGATCTTTTAACCACAGGTTAAACACAATARAAAATGTTACGACCTGCACATAAAAAGAGTGCTACAATACAGATAAATCAGTTACATTTGTTAGCTCTGATCTGACCTTTAACATCAATTTGAAGTTGTGCTGCTACAGTATGTGCTGCAAGAGCCCATGAGGACAGGCTGAACCATTCAGAAATAAACCGTGACCAGAGCAGAGCAATAGGCCTGCCACCAGACCCCTCTGCATCAACATTTGCATTGAAGACTAAGAACAATGAAAAAAAGATAGGTTAAAACATAGCTGACTCAGTGAACTTCTGTMTGAGCTGAGCAGAAGGCAAATCAGCTGAACTTTCCTTTGGCAGTTCTGTCAGGGTGTCAGCAGCCTCACCAAGTCCCACACTGTTGCTACAGAGCACAGATTTGCCTAAACAGAACTGTCAAACATAGAAAATTATGTTGTGTTCTGCTCCCTGAGAAGATGCTCAAACAAGAGGGTGCYGAACGTGTTTCAGTTCTTCAGGCAAGTATGTTACATTTAACACTAACAATTATCACTCAGGGAGCTGTGCTGATTATTTTTTCTTGCAAGGCAAAAGCCAGGAACAACCTCCTAAGTTCTGGTTGAGTCCTGAGATCTAAACACTGCCTTAGCTCCATCTGCAGCCCCACCAAGGGCCTGTTTACTCACTGTGTAGGAGCAGTGCTCGTTAATGATGACTCTGTTAGAGAAGGTTTCATTGTAGGCTTCTATATGCAGAGTCCTTTCTCGCCTGTTCAGAGAGTTCTTCTGGACAAAGTAGACATAGTCAACCCCTGCAATCTGRGGAAGATGGCAGAGATTCTGTTAAGGTACAATATTCATGTGAAGGGATATCCAGAAGCAAAAGCAGGCAGTTCAAAGCTCATCACCTTTTTCAGCAGCCGTGGTGCATCAATGTCCAGTTTGCAGCGCCGCTCGATCACATGGATGGCCTCATCCTCACTCTTGTACTCATTTACAGTGTCACTGGCTACAAACATGGGGATCAGAGGGCACGTAGGAAACCTTCTTTCATATGCCTGTAACGATGGAACGAGGACAAACAACCATCATTAATTCCGGACGGTGTGCTGTGAGTTCCTTCACCAGCATTTGGAGGCTCAATGCCCTTCAGAGCCTCCATGGAAAGGACTGAGCCTTCCTAAATCCACATTAGAGCTGAAAGAGTCACAGTGCATTCAAAAAAATCCATTTATTAATATGCTCCTTTCTGGTAAGGTAATTTTTAAACCACACAAAATAACCCATTCCTCCCCTCCCTCCAAAAAGGAAGTTATTCATTCTGTACCATGGCAACCCCCTTGACAACWGAAACAGGAAAATCAGCCCCTCCAGTTCTAAAATACCACAAGACAAAACAATTATGTGTTGGATTAAAAAAACCCACTTACTAATTACCGGTGTTTCACCAAGCTGTGTAGAGGGATTTCATACAGTTCCCCAAGGTCTAATAAAAACATTTCAAAAGCTATTTCTTAAGCTAATAGAGCTCTCAAGCTCCCTGGGCACAGAGTGTTCCTAATGATTTCACTGCAGTTTATCAGCTCACAGTTTTGTCCAACAACAGTCAGTCTAATACAATGAGCTCATTTCACACTTCCGAAAGTGTAAAACTTSTTGCAATAATGCAAAGCTAGCAAGAGTTTTGACTTTGGTTAAAGAACACAATCATGTAAATAAATTCATGTCTTAAATATCTGATACACAGAGAAGATGATATTGAATCAGACATAAGCAGGAGAGTTATGGATCTGGGATCATTAAAACAAGTAAGAAGAAAGTGGGTGTTATGCCCATTAGCAAACTTCGTGAATTTTAATTTTAAAACCACTGTGGCTGGCCTATACAAGACAATGGTAATTTTTTTTCCCTTTCTTTCATAGTCATTAATGCATCTCTGTTTCTCTTTGGTATTTTTCTTTTTCTCACAGGGTAGCAGTGAAGCAACTAATTCTTTAGCCTGCTTTTAATATTGTGAATTCCTTCATCTTTGCTGTTATCAGAACATCATTGGCTTTGGTGAAGAGGTAGGATTTTGCAGTGTCCCAACGCCTTTACTTTAAAAAAGTAAATCTGAGAGAACATCATGAAACAACTCTTTTAATGAGGTAAAATATCCACTCTGTCATTTTAGATGATTTCAACTGCTCTGAAAACAGCTGGGCTGCAGCACCAACAGGGAGAGGGTGTGGAACAAAACAAGCAGCAGCTGCACAAAGTATGCAATGGTGGGGCTGGAACAGAAAAGGTCTCTTAATTCTCCCTTTAGAACAATTAAAATATTTCAGTTTATTATCACTGTTCAAACCTAGTTTGAAGTCAGTGTTACTATGGTGACAGTGGTGTAAGGCACTAAAACAGTGTCAGCTTTTTTCCCCTTGTGCATATTTTTAAACCATTTTTTGCAGCATGACTGTCCCAAGTTCATAAAGTGCCTCTGTAAGGCAGCAGAGTTGAGCCAGGGAAGGGGTTACACACACTCCCTTCTTCTGACTTCATCTGTGAACAGCTGCTTTGGTTTAACTGAAGAATAGCAATAATTCCTGGCCTCAGAGATGTGTGCACAATAGCAGTGACAGAGCATTAGTGTTGTAATAYAATAGCCARCAGTGGGGGAGAAAACCTTTCACAGCTCCAAGACAAAGGGAGGATGGGTCCTATTAACATGGTATAAGAAGCTTCTTTTGTCCTTTTGGTATGGCAAAGAAGTTTCTTATTTCTCTTACAAGGTTCTTGTCCTGGACAGAAGTCTGTACATTTTAATCACTTGTGAGTATCTCAGCTGGATCCCTGAAAAGGTCTCAGGATTCTTTCTAAATTATTCTCTATTTTAACTGCAATGACTGTAGTTAAACACTGTTAAAGTCAAAAAAGAAAACATTTCCAAAAGGAGCAGAATTTACAAGTATTTCTTGCTTTCAGATTGCTTCATTTAATACTTTAWTTTATTTGAGAACCTTGTGTTACAATCATTTTATAGACAGGAGAGCATGGGCAGTAGGTATCTAACATTTTTCAAAGTCTTTTTTACATTTGGATGACAAATTTTCCCTATCTGAACAAYCTCCTTTATGCCAAAGCCTTTGCAAGTCTCCTTCATTGCACATATTAATGCTTTTCTCATCTTAGTCCTCCAAACACTTTRTGTTTGCCCTGTGAACATTTGCAAATCAGAGCATTACCTGCTCTTGAGTGTTTGTTGAACTGCGAACAAAAAAATGCCCAAGAAGAATGTGTTGTTTCAGATGGCAAGACTGAATTGAATGTGTTCAATTTGGAAGAGAACAAAATAATTATCCRCCAAAAGCTGGCAAGCTGAATGCTTACAGCAAAGTACTTGAGGGGTTCCAAGAGATTAACAGCGACTCAGGATTCTTTCTCCCTRAAGAACACACACACACAGAAAACTGTTCACAGTCGATTTTATTGGGCTCTTAAATTAGGCTGGTTTTATTTCTTTATGTCCCACTGCCAATATGTCCTTGTAATGCACCATTTCTCAGCACAGCCCTGTTTGAATAAAAGGTGATTAGAGCAAACCATGGCCACAATCAAAATATTCAATCTCATTTCCTTCACAGTGCAGAGTGGGCAGAAAAAAGCTGCTAAAGGCTACAGGACACTGACAGATCTCCTTTCACCACAAACCAACACAGCACAGGAAGAAAACCTGTAATTTGTGGTACAACACAGCAAGAGCCACGTTAGTCACAGCAGATTTGTATAGCCAAGACTGGAGCTATTAAAGGAGCACAAGAAGATTAAAGAAAGATCAAACACTGCTTTTATTCTTCAATAGAACTGAAGGGATTTTGCTGTGTTATTGAAGTGTTTTGAAGCAGAAATTTTGACTCAAATCCAGCTTTGCAAACAGGAAATAACTGAACTGCATTATGCAGTGCTCCTCCAGCAGGCTGATAAAGCAAAGTTTATTATAAAATGCTGCCCCTTCCTTGTATGACAGTACTGTGGTTAAAACTGGACAGATAGGTCTCTCTTTACAATAAAATCAGATATCTACACCTTTGTCTCAGTGTTCCAGTTTCAGTTTACYGATAAATCAAAGACAATTAGTTCCTCAAAAGAGAAGTAGCTGTAGAAAAGTCCCAGAGGACTCCATGCAAGAGTGAAATAYTGCTACTGTAGCACTAATTGCACCCAAGAATGGTGCACGGATGTGACCCTATTACTATTTTCCCCTGTCACATTTAACACACAGGATGTGTGGAGTCGGACACAGAGCACAAGGCAAAAGCACAGATGTGCTCATCCTCAAAACTCTTCAGCTGTTGCTGGGCTTGACATGAAGTCACAACACCTCCTTGGCTGAGACACCTGTCTACAGATCTTTCAAAAAAATCATTCTTAGCCTGCAATTCTGCACTTCCTCAATAATGTACTTCTACAATTTTCCACCAGCCTCTGGAACATTTGTGTACTCTGATACATTAGAAGCTGCAYTGTGCATCAAGAAAAACACAGTCTGGTGAAGCAGCTTGAACTGCAAATTTAACTTTYTTAATGCATGTTAACAGCAAGAGCACTGACAAGCATAATTTCAACCAAAATAGCACTGTAATAAAGCTTCTTTTCCAACTGCTTCCCTTAGCAACTCATGTTCAGAGTAGAGTCAAAATAACAGGATTTATTCCACTTTTATCCTTGCWAGTATTTCAGTTGAGTGTGAAGACATGAAAGCAATTCAGAAGTCAGACTATTTTAAACCCACTGCAGTCGTTTCTCATAGCCAAGGGAATTGTACTTGCTGCCRCTGCCCTTAGATTTTAGAATTCTAATACCAGGAAAAATGAATTCCTTTCAAAATACTACCTTTAAAACAGCACTTAGGTATAACCCCAGCCCACTTTTCAAAGAATTCTGGCTTTTTGCTTCTCAAACCATGCCTAGAGCTAATAAAATACCTTGATAATAAGCATGTGCTCTGTCTTCAGTGAAGAAAGTCAGTCATTTATGCAAAGAAATTACTCAACTTCTCTGGTCAGATTAATATGCTCCCAGTCTCCTGCCTTCAAGGACAGGGATTATTTCATATTTCCATTAGATGAGTCAAAACAAACTTCTATACTTAAAAGAGGAAAAAAAAAATCCAAGCAATCTTATTCTGTTCTCTTTCCGTGTATTGTTCTGTTCTAGCAGGTGAATCCCCCAAACAGAAATTCTAACCTGGTGGAATGAGGAATTTCAATTACACTTTGGAAAATTAAGCATATCAAGTGCTTTAACAGCTTAATGGTATGAATCAAGTTGTTAAGATGTTTTATTTCTTTTTGATGYTCTCAGCTGGAAGAGAAGCATTGCTAGAGCAGCACCACATTTCTYCAAGGACACCTCAAAAGAACCCACAAACAGATTCATTCTGGCAGCCCAATCTCATCTGCAGCACTTGGTGCTAACTTTAATTTCTGCCAGCTGCATCTGACTGTGTGGGTACCAATCTGCAAGCACATACCAATGTTCCCTGTGCTCCCCTATCCACTTCCAATGTGTGGGATTTCTGAATTATTCATAAACACACAAGCAACAAGCAGGGTCACTCAAGCAGGATGCTGCCCTGGCTCGGCAGGCTGCATTCCCACAGCCTGATCATTCCTGCAGAGCCCTGCATCCCTTCCTCCCTCTTACATTAGAGCACTGCAGAGCAATAGGAAAAGCAGTGACACATGGGAGGGCAACCAAGAGGTCTCAAATTCCTGGCAGCTGAACTTGGAAAGAAACAATTCTTGATGAACTCTCACAGATCAGMAAATAACTTTTCATGCCCTGTATTCCCTTGTTCTGAGCTCTCTACCACTCCCTTTCAATCCATACATATGTATAAAAATCACGACACTTGTCTGATGCACTATAAAAATCATGAGACTTGAACAAAGCAGTGTGATCCCGGTGCCCGTGTCTCTGAGGAATGTTAGCTCACATGGGAGTGATCAGCCTGGGGGCGTGTGTGCAARAGAGCAGATGGTTACAGTGGCTATACCTCAAAGCTCCAGAAATAGGGGTT